ACGAGCGGGAGGGCGGGCTGCGCGCATGCGTGGCAGAGGGACGGTGGCACAGGAAGAACGGGGCAGAGCGCAGCCCGGTGCTCCACAACCCAGGCACCTGCGGCAAACCTGTGCTCGCCTGTCCTGCGTTACCTGGGCCTCAGTCCCCTAAAGGGGGTCTGTGGGGTACTAACGATGACAGCACAGCCAACACCCACCAAGGCCCTGGTACCAAGTGCCTGCCCAGCAAGCACTGTGCCCGCACATGCCCCCTGGCTAGCAATCAGTAGGCCGTATATAATGATAGTGGTAACAGTGACGACAGGACCAGGTCTCTTACCCTGGAGGTCTGGGGAGGCTTCCTAGGAGGAGGCAAATCAGGGAGAATGGGCGCGGACGAGGCAAACCAGAAGGAAAATGCCTTCATGCAGCGGGAGCGGCTGCTGGAAAGTCCCGGAAAGGGAAAGCAGCATTCTACGTCTTACCGGGAGAGGACAGCAGCTCCAAGTGCCTGCTGGAGCACCCTGGTCAGCAGGGCACCTCCGCGGTAAGAATGGCTCCTTCCTCTAGGAAGCCCTCCCAGATTACTGTGAGCCCCCACGCAAGAGCTGCATTCTCGGTACGATTTCCCAGTTCCCTGTGGCAGAACTAGGAAACGGAGAAGGTGCAACAAGCGTGGAGCTGACGGCCCCACAGGGAAGCAGGAGCACATATACTGGTGACTGGCCAGGTGCACAGTGCCAGCTCCCATGGGGGATACAGACACTGCCCTGGCATCTCGGGTCAGAGCCCCTTCCTGTTTGCCACGCCTCAGTGCTCACCCAGGACTGGACAAGGTTCCAAATGCAGATAAAGAAGCCCTGGGGGCATCTCCACAAAGGACCACTAGCTGTCCTCCTCCCCCAGCCAGAAAAGCATCCTCAGCTAGACCATGGCGGAGGGTAGCTGTCAGCAGTGAGCAAGAATCATTATTTTGGCTAATTTAGGAAGTGTGCGACTCACCCAAGATGAAGCTGGGTAGACCTCATTCCTGAGCATTCCTTGATGGATTATTTTTCATTCTGAATTGCTATTACCATTCCAGCAACAACAGGAGTTTGTTTTTTGTTTTTTTTTTTTTTTAAGTCCAGGGCAAAAGACTTTAGAGAAGTGACATTCCTCAAGCCTGTTTGCCAGGAGACACAACAGGTAGCGCCCAACCCAAACCCCCAGCAATGCGTCTTGCACTCAAAGCTGAGGGAGGGGCGGCCCCGCGGAACGCAATGGCCAACGAACCGCCAATTCGAAACACATTTGATCACATTATAGATCTGTTGTTTGGCTGCACAAACAGACTTTGCTATCCCTCCTCCTTCAACAAACACTTCCTGAGCCAGGTGTACTGTGCTGTCTCCGAGAACTCAGAGATAGTGTGTATGCGTGCACGCGTGTGTGTGTGTGTGTGCACGTGCACGCACACGCATGCACACGCATGTGTCGTCCCCACCCTTAAGGAGCACAGTTTACTGAGCATGTCAAGTGGTAAGTCAACAGTTACGCTGATAAGTGCTTTGGGAGAGATAAAGGCAGGGTGTTCTGGGAGCCGGCAGGAAGGTCATGTCCAGGACACAGAGAGGAGCAGCGTGGGAAGGAAGGTGTCCAGAAGACTGGAAACCCGTCCTGAGCTGCTGAAACGGGGAGCAGGGGGCGGGTCATTCCCAGAAGGGTCCAGCGGGGATGGCTGGCGGGAGGCTGGGCTGAGGTTAGAAATCGGGGGTAGGGCATGAGGAATGTGGCCCAAGGCCTGATCATGAAAGACCGCAGGCCCACCGAAGGGGCTTCGGCCTTACCCTACGAGCAATGAGGAGCCCTCGGAGAGTCTGCAGCAGGAGCAAGCCATGATCAGATGAGTGAGTTATAAACATCATGCTGATAAGGAGTGTGGGGGTGGACTGAGGAAGGACAAAAATGGACACAGGAAGACCAATTAGGAGGCTGTTGAAAGGAATCCAAAGGATGAGTCCTAAGTGAAGGAGCAGGGAAGGAGGAGAAGCGAGTGGACAAATCAGAAGATGTCCTCTTCAGGAGGACGCGGTAACCAACAGAACAGGACAGTTGGGGGAAAGGACAAAGCTAGGGATGGCTCGTGCAGGAGACACAACTTGGGGCTGCAGTTGCAGGCAAGGCAGGCAGCACGGGGAGACAGACGCACTCGCGGCAAGGGCAGGGGTGAGCACCAGGCGCCTGCGGGCAGCAGCTAGTGGTGTGGCCTGGGAGGAGGTTCGGGGCTGGCTCTGAAGTTCTGGGGGGCTGCAGGGTGGAAGTGAGCAGTGCAGGGGCTCACCCGGGGATGATCCTTGCAGCGATGAGAAAGAGACCGAGTAAAGCCTTATTAAGGGTAAGGACCAAGGAAAGAGAAGTGGCAAAGCAGGCTGTGGAGGCGAAGCCTCTGAGGCTGGAGGAGAACCAGGAGAGGCAGGCCAGGTAAGGAGACTGCACACCTACCAGGGAGGGGAAGGGAGCACTCAGCAGGCCACAAACATGGGACCTGGACAGGGGCTCTGCACTGCTGGGAGCACTCAGTTAGCTGGTAGCCACCGTGGCCCAGCAAAAGAATTAGGAAGAAGAGTTGACAGTTCAGCTGACGTCTGTAGAACCCTCAAAGAGAATTATGACTTTGTCCCCAAAAGCCACTCTGTCTCACTTCATTTCTTGGTGGGGCCTTCCCGATGACCCTAACTAAACTACTGGGCCCATCACCCTCCACCCCCTTCTCTCACTTTATTTTACTTCAGAGCATTACCATGCCATTATACATCTCACACATTTGTTCTGTCTCCCCTACTAGAAACATTCTCATGGGTAGCCTCATGAGGACAGAGAACTTGTCCTTTGTCATCCCCAGAACCACAGTGCCCAGAGCAGTGCCTGGCACACAGAGGAGGCTTGTCCCAAGCCTCCCGGCTCTTTAGAAACAACAAATATGTACTGAGTACATCCTACATGGCAAAACCATGCTAGATGCTGGGGGGAGTGCCAGTAAACAAGACAAAACAGGACCCTGCCCTCAGAGCTGAAAGTTGGAGGTGAGCAGAGAGAAATGCCAAATATTTAAACAAAAAGTAGATGACAACTGCCATCATGCGAGGCCTGGGATCTGACTGTCATGCCTTCTAGTGCTATTTCCTTTCCAAACCCAAGACTGTCGCCTTCTCCAACTAAGGAAAATTTTACCTGGGGAAACAGTTAAAGTATTTGAGATTTGGTCTCGGTTTTTTTCGGAGATCCCACGCTTCCTCCACCCTTTCAACAGACTCCTAAGAGGTGGAAACACCCACTACAGGCTCTGAATATTTAACCTGTACAGCTCAATCTTTCTCTAGTCCTTCTACGTAAGTAGGAGGAGAAATTCCAGACTCAAGCGAGAGAAAATAGGGAGCAGTGTAAACCAGGGTTCAGATCTGGGTTCAAATCTCTTGTGACCTTGGGTAGGTTTCTCAACCTCTTTATGATTTGATTTTCTTACTGCTGAAGTGGTAATACTAATTCCCTGTGTTAGGGATTGTTGCAGAGATGACATAAAATGATGCGTACCAAGCACCCAGCACCGAGCCTGGTACATAGTGAGAGTTCGATAAACGGTGGCTCGAAAGCAGTTACACCTGTTGCTTTTATGACCAGATCTCAAACTGCTATATTCACACCAACTAAGCCAAAAACACCGTAGAATTCAGCCCAAAGAATGGACACTCGAAATACTCAGAGCACAAACTGACATCTGTTGGAGGGCTTGAAGAATTATCTCAAAGTCCCTTATGTGGGCAGACTCGGCAGTAAGAAGTTCCTTGGTCTGCCCTCTTCTCAGTTTCTTGGTCTACCCTCTTTTCTCCCTCAATTTAGGCAAATGCAACTATCTCCCCAACAGATCACATCTTGTCTCACGGCAAGAGTCCAGACATGGGCTGGGCCCCGTGGTGCAAGTTGTGACAGAGCTATGAGCACCACACCTCAAAGGGAGCAGAAGGACACAATCACAAGCCCAATGTACCCACAAACCCCCACAAAAGCTTGGCTCCAGAGACGGAAATGAGGACTGGTCATGGCATGCTGTGCCTGCCTCAAAGCTAAAGAAAAGGTAACTGTGACATGCAAATGTCCAAATCATATGTGCATCTCCCTTCTTTTACCAGACTCTCTCTGAGGGGCCTCTTTCTTTCACTGATGTCTCTGATGCTTTATCCCTCATTTATGTGCGACCCTGTGCAGCGTGGAGCCCTCAGCCCCATTCCTCTCTGTGGGATCACGTTCCTCAAGGCCATCTCTAACCCACTGGTCACCAAGTCAGCAGCCTTCCTTCAAGTCCTTCTCCAGAGTCTCTGCTGCTCCCTCCTCCTTCCTTCGTGGGACTCTCTCCTCTTCCACCTTCTTCTTCCATCCAGAGCTATGCACACTCCCCAGTGCTCGGCTCTCTGCTCAACACGGGGAGAAGTCATTTAATCCTATGGCTTCCCTTCTACATCTCCGGACCAAACCTCAGTCCAGGCTTCAGCCCTACATCTCCAACTGTCTACTGGACGTTTCCTGCGGATGAACCACTGTCATCCTAAATTCGGTGTATCTAAAACCAGATGCATCAGGCACCCCTCTCCATCTCCAGTCTCTACATTTGTCAATGGTGCCACTGTGAACTACCAAACTTTCGTTTTCTTTGGTTCCTGTCTTTAAAGTCCAAGAAGACTATAAATCCTATGGTTCTCCCTTTGCTATCTCTTCTATTGGTCCTTCGCTCCCACCTGAACCACTGCTAACCACATGATGTCACACACGGATTGCTGCTGCTCATTTGAACAGGCCCCTGGCCTCTTGTCTAGCTATCAGATGAAAGGTCTTAGCATGTCACTTATGCCATTTCAATTCTTTGCCCAAAATAACCTCAATGGCTTCCCACTGCATCCAGGATAAAGTCCAAATGTCTCAGCCTGACATTCAGGGTCTAGAGATGGAGTCTGCAAACTGGAGCCCACGGGCCAAATGCTACCTACCACTTGTTCCTGTAAGTAAAGCTTTCCGGGGACCCAGCCACGCCCATTCATTCACAGATTAGCTGCGGCAGCTTTCATGCTCCAACAGCAGGGCTGAGTCGCTGTGACAGAGACCACATGGCCTGTGAAGCCAAAAATATTTACCATCTGACCCTTTGCAGAAGATGTTTGCTGACCTTGGTCTAGAGTAATCCTATCCTGCCAAAGGTCTTGCCCGTGACTCTTCTGGATAAAGCTCTTACTCCTGTGGGTTTGCTGCTGTGAGCCCACTTTCTTTATATCTTACACCCAACTTCTTGAACCCAAAAAGCTTACTTCACTCCTTTTTGGACTCTTCCTTCCAAACACAGCCAAAGTCCCACCCTCCATGAGGCCAGCTGTGTCCATCCCCTACAACCCCGGATGCCCCTCCTCTGGCCCCCCCTCTGCATCTATCGCAGAAACAGTGAAATTGCACTTCTCCTGGGGGTCCTTTCTGCCTGTACTATAGGCTTCTCTAGAGTCTAGGTTTGGTAACCTCCACAGCGCCATGCCAATGATAACTTCCTTGCCCTTTATTCCAAATACCGATCCTCAGTAGCATAATTCAGTAAGGAGGCATCAAACAAACTTACCAGTGAAGTCCTAGGATTCCACATTTGAAAATTTAAGTTTGGGTCCAAAAGTGTGCACTCTAGCCAGCACCACCTAAAAGCCAATGAGATAAGAGTTTAGCCTTAAGAGAGAATAGTTACACGCTGTCTTTAAATTTACAACCCCCAATAAGTTTGATTTACCATCCTCTCAGGATGCCCATTTCTGTTACTTTGTCTAGAAAATCCTGCTCATCTTTCCAATCCACTGGACAGTCTTTCCCCCAGCAAGCCAGGCACCTCCTCTCATTTATGGTAACACATGACATATGGGAGCACAATTTCTTATTTAGGAATGGGGGTCTCTAGAGTATAGGCTTTTCAAGAGAAGAGACCTATTAAATTTACCCCTTCTCTTACCCCACCGCCTAGAACATGGTGGGCATTTAGATAGTCGTCAAGAAATATTTGTAAAATGGGTGGACAAATAACTCACTCAATACATTAACACGTAGCTGGGTGTTGAAAATTCTGCTAGGCCACATTTTTCCCTAGAGAAATGCATGCCTCAATCCCACTGATTTTAAAAGCAATTGTTTAGCAGGAAGGATTAATGACATTAATCTTCTAAATGCACACCTTTGGAATGGCACTCCCCTGGGCAGAGAGCCTTCAGAGGCTCCCAGAATCTAAGAAGGCAAGCCCAACTCCGTAAACAGCCTGCCAGGCCTGTACCAACCGGCCCGGCCTGAGTCCACAGCCTCAGCTTGCACGGCCTCCCCTACTGACCCCACTATCCAGACAAACACAGCTGATAGCGGGTCCCTTCCCTCTCTGCATTCCCTCCAGTTGGATGTGTCTCTCCCCTTCTCTCCATATTATCTCCTCTTGAAATGCCATCCATTTCCAACATTATATCCCAGACCAAGTTCATCATGGGGCCAATACTTTTTTTCCTCTGGGGTGTGTGTGTGTGTGTGTGTGTGTGTGTGTGTGTGTGGTAAAATACACATGACGTAAACTTTATAATCGTAACCATTTTCGGGTGTACAGCTCAGTGGTATTAAGTACATTCATGTTGTTGTGTAACCATCACCACCATCCATCTCCAGAACTCTTTTCCACAAAACTGAAACTCTATACCCATTAAACAATTAACTCCACTTTCTCCCTTCCCCACCACAAGTCTCTGAAACCCAGTAAGTTTTTGTGGAATGAATAAATGATGAATGAAGACATGAATGAATCTGACCTCAACCCTCCCCACAAAAGCCAGAAGTACTGTCCCTTTCTACTAGACTCCCATGGCACTGTCTTCATCTTTCTTGGATTTATTTCAATCAATCTTAAATGATCTGTTTTGCACAACTGTATTTTTCTTTAGTGGGGAAACTGTGACTTATTTGAAAGGTTAAGCTGGGGTCCCAAAGCAGGCATTTGGCCTGTCCTCCACGTTGCTGGATCCAATAAGCAAGTCTCAGACCTGGTCTTACGGCTTTTGGTACCAGTAAACCATTCCCTCTTACTTGACGACCCTCCTCACTTGGCGTCCAGGATAGCACTCTTGGTTTTCCACCCACCTCACTAGCTATTCTTTCCCTTTGCTGGTTCTTCCTTATCTCCCTACCTCTTAATATCAGAGTGCCCCAGGGCTCAGGCCTTGTTCTCATCGCTTCTCTGTATACCTCCAGTCACCTCCCGGTGGTCTCACCTAGTGTCTGGGATTCAGGTATTATCTGTATGCTGAGGATGATGCCCAGATTTCTCTCCAAGCCTGGACCTCTCCTCTCAACTCCTGGCTAGTAGGATATATCCAACTGCCTGCTTCCAGTAAGATGTCATGTAGACAGGAGATCTGTGTAAGTCATGTTCAATGTGTCAAACCTAACCACTTCGCCTTCCCCCAGGCCTGCTCCTCCAAGCCCTCCCCATCTCAGTTTAAGACAACGTTATTCCAGTTGCCCAGGCCAAAAGGTTAGAGCCATTCTCGTCTCCTTTCTTTTAGGCCATAGTCCAGTCCTCACCAACATTGGTTTTTATTTCAAAATACATTCAGAATATGACCCTTTCATTGGTTTTTATTTCAAAATACATTCAGAATATGACCCTTTCTCACTCCTTCCACCATTACCAATGTAGATGATTGCAAGAGCCTCTCAACGGGTGTGCCTACTTCCCTGCTTTGGCTCTTGGTGTCACTCCTCCCTCGATCCGTGGTCAATTCCCAGTTCAGGAGGGAATTGGTCATAACATCAGTCAGATCGGGTCATTTCTTTGCTTAAAATCCTGAAAAGCCTTCCTAGCAAGGACAATGGCCAAGGGATGAATGTTTCTAAAGTAGACCTGCAGGCCCAGGGGCAGGCTCGCGGGGAGGAAGGGTCTTCAGGCCAGGGTCCTCCTCCCAACCATCTCTCAACTGGCAGTCCCAGCTGCAGCTCCTATTATCTGAGTTCATAAAGAAAGGAAACTTTTTAAAGGGAGAGAAATACAATCAATCAGCTTTCTTTTGCAGTTAAGGCACCGCAAGAAGCCAACAACACTCACATTTCTCAAGAAGCAAGTAAGATATGTCAAGTCTGCCACCACTTAATAACTAGTTTCCAAAGATAAATCTAGCCTTCCAGAGAAGAGTTATTACCCCCTCGGTGGTGGTGTGGGGGGCGGTGACCCTCCTTACGCCCCTCTTCTTCCTGCATCCTCCAGCTGGTCACCAAGCCCCGGTTGCCTGATTGTCTCAACTTTATCCCACCCCTCCTCTCTACCGTGCTGCGGCTGGAGGTAAAGTCCAAATGAAACAACTAAGGACTTGAATTAGTTCGGGCCTCGTCAGCTCTCCCTGGAGCTCCAGCAACAACCTCCTAACCAGTCTCCCCACCTCTAGTCACTTATTTATTTCCAACCGCAATCCCAGACACAGTGTCTGGAATGAGTTTAATAAAACCTAAATTTGATCAAGTCCCCTGCTTAAAATTCTCCAAAGCGTTCCTACATTGCTGTACTATAAATTCTTCAAAACATATTAGAGTAAGCCAGGGTAAATCTTTTTTTATCTTCCATAGACACTTTTCTTCCACCTTCTTAAAAAGACCATGAATGCCCCAGTAAGGGTGGGCAAATGATCCAGCCCAGATTAGAGTCCTCCACTCCCTGGCAACGGTGATTAGCTGTAGAGGATAAGCACACTACCCAACCTAAGCCAGTCAGAGACTTTGTCTAGACTTGATATACAGATGCAGCCACTTCACTGCAGTCGCTAAACTGGGGCTGTCAGCAGAGGTGCCCCCACGAGGAGGGTGGTCTGTCTGCGGGAGGAAAGACTGATACCAACCTACAAAGAACAGAAGACAAGCGGCCATACGGACTCCTGGTGACACCAGCTCCCTTTCTGGAACATCTTCCTTTTGTGAACTCCTACAGCGTCCTGCCCAGTTACGGAACCAATAGCGACCCACTTACATGTCAGCCAGTGGGGGTCCCGACAGGCCCATCACGCCATCACCCGTACCTGTGTCTTTCCCACATTGTGTCCTCTGCCCAGAGCGCATGCTCCTTGGATCTTCACATAGCAGCCAGACTTATAGCTCTATGGAGCCTTCCCTGAAGGGCAGCACCATTAGTCTGGTTTCCCAGATGTGCTCTCAATGCCTGGAATATGCCCACTCTGCTGCATCAGACGCCTCATGGCCTTCCCAATTTTAGCTGGTGGCCCAAGCTAGAAACCTCACCCTCACCCTAGTCTCCTCGCACTTCCTTGTTGCCCTGGGGACTTTCCTCTCCTTCCTTTCTGCACCATGTCTGTTGTCACAGCACGGGACCCCATTATCTACTACCTGGACCCAGGTAACAGCCTCCCATTTTCTCTGCCACTCCCCCACCCACCCCACCCTCCACACCACGATATAGCTCTCCAACCAGCTACACAATCAAACCCCTGGGATCTTAAGCACCCCCCCCCCAAACTGGCTCCAACCTAAACTCTCTAGCTGCTCCCAACCATTGCCACTTCCAGGAAGATGGAGTACAACAAAAACTCCTGGACAGTATATGTAATGCAAACGTAAGAAATGTCTGAAAGGCAGAGTGAAGAAGGCAGACCAGTTAGCGATCTCAGGACCTCAGGAATGAATGACACCATGGTGAGTTCCCTGCATTTTCTTTCTTTCTTTTTACTTTTGTGTGTGTGTGTGTGTGTGTGTGTGTGTGTGTGTGTGTGTGTGTGTGTGTGTGTGCCTCATATATCCCAGACTTGGAATTGAAGAAGCCAGCGATCTAGAAATGCAGAAGGCACATGTGTGTGTGCACGCGCACACACACAAAGCTTGTGCCCTCTAGCAAGACAGAAAACTTTTAGATAGTAACCACTCTATTGCAACCAAGCACTACAGAAAACCCTATTCCATCCCCGCCCATACCAGCAAAATGCAAATGACATCTGCAAAAATCCCTCTTGTTAACAATCTACTTGATGGTGGAAGACTGCCTTCCCCTCAAGACTAGGAACAGACAATGATGTCCACTCTTACCAATCTTATTCAGCATGGTACTAGAGGTCCTAGTCAGCACAAAGGACAACAAAGAGAAATAAAAAAAGCAAAGAAGAAATAAAACAAATCTCCATTTGCAGACGATATGACTGCCTATGTAGAAAATCCTGAAGAATACACAAAAGACATTCCTAGAACTAATTAGTGAGTTTAGCAAGGATGCAGGATACAAGATAAAAAAATTTATAAAAATCAGTTTTATTTCTATATACTAGCAATGAACACATGGACATCAAAATTAAAAATACAATGCCATTCACAATTGCTAAAAAGAAATACTTAGGCATAAATATAATGTCTTCCAATGAATCATTCTACAGTCTATCCACATGGGTTTACCTCTGCCACGAGGGCAGGAACAGTACTGTTTTGCTCTCCGGTGAAAACAAAATACCTAGCCAAGTGCCCAGCACCTAGTAGGCATGCAACGTTTGTTGCCATGACTCATGCCCTGCTCTGTTTAAGACAGACTTCTCCCCCTTTATGCTCCCACTGAGATCCACCACTGGGCTCCGTGCTCGGCGAGGAGTCTGCTGGAGATTCTCTCACTCCCTCTCCTTCTGCCCCTCCC